ATAATTGGATGAGAATATTAAAGCAAAGAGGACCCCGATGGAAAAACGTACGTTTCGATAGATTCGTTTTGGAGATAGTGTACTGAAAACACGGTGATACCTTTGAAGATGGGTCCTCACCGAGTCCGAGGACATGCCAAGTATACCATACGCATACAAATACCTACACATATGTATATGTATAAGTATATATATATAGAAAGTTGACGATGGACCTCCCGTGCGTTTCAGTCGACCGAAAACCCTTAAACCCGTAGACCTCTTTTTCCATGCACCTTCTTCCTCCCTTCTCGGTATCCTCTTTTCTTCTATCTCGTTCTACTTCTCTTCTTGTTTATCATTCATCAACCTCTCTCTTCCTCTTTTTCGTTCTCTCCTTGTTTTGGTACTTTTTCTTTGGTTCTCCCTGTTCCTCTTTCAACCGCTTACTTCCATCTCGGTACGGTAAAAGACGAAGAGGAGACGTTCTCCAAGTGGATAGCCAACGTAACTGGGCAAACGTTCGAGTGCAACAGAATTCACCTCATCCTCCTCTTCTTCTTCTTCTTCTTCTTCTTCTTCCTCTGTTCGATCTTCTTCACTCAACTTTCTTTATCTTTTCTTCTTTTTCTGTTACGCGCGTACGTCGTCAGCGTCTCCTTTTGCACCCTTTTTATCTCTCGTCTCCGTCCGCAAGGACGAACGCGTGCACCTTCCTCCTCACCTCTTTATCCTCTTCTTCCCTCGAAACAACTTATCTTCCTTCCTCTTTTTCCTCTCTCTATCTCTCTCTGTTTTATTCTCTCGCGCCTGATATCCTTCAAGTTGTTTTGCACGTCGGCCTACTCCTCCTCCTCCTCCTCCTCCTCCTCCTCTTGCTTCTCTTTATCCTTCAAGCTCTCCTTCTGCTCTCCTTCTGCTCTTCTTCTTCTTCTTCTTCTTCTTTTAGCTCTCGTTTTACTACCTCGTTTATATCATCGCAATACTCTCTCTTTCTTTCTGTTTATTTTTCTTCCTCTTCTTTTTTTTTTATTACATCAAATGCACTCTCTCTTTTCATTCTTCCTTTTATTTTTTTTTTTTCAACTAACAAAATTGATACTTTTCTTTTATAGTAACTCCCTTATCACCCTTCCCTTTCTTCTAGTTTGATTATATATATAATTATATATATTTTTTTTTGTTTAACAGACAACTAAAAAAGTGAGATAAATTCTCCTCTGTCATGAATGAACATTGAAAAAGTGCTACGTAATTATTATTAAATATTTTGAAGAACATTGAACTCTCTCTCTCTCTCTCTCTTCATATAATCTCGTATTTCATAAGTTTATACGTGGTTCTGTATACCGAATTGCCGACTGAATTGACGATCAAGTGAGAGACATATAGTGGGGGTAAACGTATAGGGGAATCGGGAGTCAGCTCTTGCTCATGAGCAAGCTGTTAGGACGCCTCTACTTTAGACGTTCGCCGGTAGTTCCTCGATCATACTCTTCGTCCTCGTTCTGATACCACCAGATACCAAAAGTATTAGAGAATATTCATTATCCCCCTTTGAACGGGATAAAAAGAAAAAAAAGAAAAACAGAGAGGGAGGTTTATATATATATATTTTTTTTTTAATGTGAAAAATCCTGTGTTTTTTTTTATTTCGGACGATAGTGAATTTTATATTTTTTTTTTTATTTTCACTTTGAAATACGAAGATCGAAAAAAGAAGATGATTTTTGGATTGTACAGCGTCCTACTTGCTACCCTCTTGGCTTTTTTAATTTATATCGCTTTCTTCTGGAAGATCAACTGGGTCAGAGTGAGTTAATATTCTTTTATAATTATGATTGTACTTAATTTTCTTTCTTTCTTCTTTTTTTTTTTTCTTATTGGTTTTAATTGTGAGTCTTAGGATTGAAGTATTCACGAATTTATGATTATTTAATAAAATTACTTTTCCTAATTATTTTACACTTTTTTTCTTTAATGTTATGTAATCTATTTCAAACTTGTTTACCATATATAAGTCTTTAACATAGTTTAATGGAAGACAATTTGACAATTAAGGCCTTACTCTACTTTGAACGCCTAAAAAAAAACGCTACTTTTATGAATTTTTTTTTAAGAACATTATTATTTTTATTGATGTAAAACTTTTTTGGGTTGTTAGATACACTCTTTAAGAATAGAATAAAAATTTTTTTTTTATTTATTCAAACACTTTTAAGGTACAAAAATTGCATTCAAACAGGAGTCTTTAAGAAGTACGTGGATGTGTATGTGGATGTTGAAAAAATCTGAAGGTCGGTCCATCTGAAACGAAAAAATACTTTAGTTTTATGTTTGTTATACCAGTGGCTATATCCCGTACCAAAATTTTTAATTTTTATGTAAAAATAACAAAATGGCGGAAAAAGAACAAAAAAGGAAAAAAAACCATTGAATGTTTAGTCTAACATTGAATAATTTCAATTTTTAAATATTTACTTTTCATGTAAGGTACTAAATATTATTTTTAAAATATACATAACTAATTACAAAATTAAAATTAAATTTTCATCATTATTTATAAAAACATTACGCCTGTAGAAATGCAACCCTTCATACACACTTTGAAAATGTTGCTTGCGAGCCTCATCTGTTGGGACAGAATTTTTTTCCGCCAAAACTGTTTATACACATATGTATTACGGGTTGCCTATCTTTCGAGAGAAAAAATTCCATCCCAGTAGATGGCGCTCGCAAGCAACATTTTAAAGTGCGTCTGGAGGGTTGCATTCATACAGGCACACATTTTTAAATAATTACAAGGAAAGTAAATAGAAAAACACTTTTAAAAATGTTTATAAATTAAATTTAATTTCACGGATTGTTCCTTACTATTTTTTAAATATAAAATAAAACTTTTACTTGCTATTATTTTTGCAAGGACTATCGATGTCAGAAAAAAATAAAACACAGAAGGATGGAAAAATTACCGCCAGTCTACCCCAATGGATGGTTCGCTTTACTCGAAAGTTCACAGTTAAAAGTGGGAGAGGTGAAACACGTATCAGCACTTGGAGAAAATTTTGCCGTTTTTAGGTAAGCATAGAATTGATCTAATTAAATTCTATATAGAAAAATATAAATAAATTAGTTATTTAGAAAGAGATAATTAAATTGATTAATAAAAAATAATAAAATAATAAATAAAAAAAACTAATTGAAAAATAATGACGAAATAGTAATAATGTTAAGTCGTGTAAATACGAAGGACAGAGAAGGGTATCGTCAAAATTCTCGATGCGTATTGCCCACATTTAGGGGCAAACATGGGTGAGGGTGGACGAGTAAGAGGAGAATGTTTGGAATGTCCTTTCCATAAGTGGCTTTTTTGTGGTGACAATGGTCGTTGTTTGGATATACCTTACACCGAGAAAGGTAAATTTTGTTTAGAATTAAAAATATTTAATATTTATAATTATTCATCCAAATGTTTAATTTTATTTAAGTACCGAACTTTGTTAAAACAAAATCATGGAGATGCTGCGAAGTTAATAAAATAATATTTGTATGGTATCACGCGGAATCGGCTACACCGGATTGGCAACCACAATCTCATGAAAAAATTTCTAATGGTAGTTGGCGATTTCAAGGTCGAAACGAATTTATCATCAATTGTCATATACAGGTTCGTCAAAATTACATTGAAAAATATTATCTTTCAAATAATTCGAAAAACGTCATATTTAAATATATAAATAAATTGTATATTCGAAAAGAAACTTTTTCGGGGATTTCCAAAAAATTTACATATACTAGTAATATTAAGAAAACAAGATGAAAGCTGCCGATTTCTTTTCACTTAACAATTAGAGAAAGTAACGAAACGTCATAAAACGATGAATTCCAGGATATAGCGGAAAATGGTGCCGATATGGCACACCTTAGCGCTGTTCATGGACCAGCGTTGTTTCTCTCGGAGGACGTGATGCGTTTAGTTCGTCACACATGGTCGAACGCAAGCTGGACACCACAAACGAGCGTGTCGAAGGATGAATCATCGGAAGAAATGTCGATGAACAAAAACAACCCGGAAGATGATGAGACGAAATTCGAAAAGGAGACGTCTGATTTAACAAAGAGATCATCATCAACAAAAACAACAACAGCTAAGACAACGATTAACGGTGAATCGAAGAATTTGTTAAATGGCAAATCGACAACTGCAACAACAAACGGACAACAACAGAATTCTTATAATCAAGAAAATCATAGAGCCAATATGACACTTCGTCACAGTTTGTTGCTTTTTGATCGATTCGATATACTCGAATTAAACGTTAAGGTTGAACAAATCGGTCCAGGATACGTCGAATTATTGATTGAAACCACATTTGGGAATATGTTTATAATACAAACGGTTACACCGATCGAACCATTGTTACAACGTATCTGTCACATAATATTTTCTCCGCCATTGTTAGCACCGTACGCTAGTATTGTATTTCTTGGCGAATGTCTTATGTTCGAGAGGGACGTTGCTATTTGGAATCACAAAAGATTCGAAACACGGCCAATGCTAGTAAAAGAGGATAAAACCATTTCCACTTATCGAAAATGGTATGCTCAGTTTTACTCCGCTAATAGTCCGACTTATCAGACGGCAACAAAAAGCTTGCAATGGTGACGTAAGGATGTCTATTTTTATTATTATTATTATTATTATTATTATTATTATTATTATTATTATTATTATTATTATTATTATTATTATCGTTTGAGAGCTAATCGTGCGAAGGACTCGATCGACGATAAAATAACTAGATATGTTGTTTGTTTTATTTCCTTACGTCCTTTTCCTTCATTGTTACACAATATTATTTAATTTGTTAGAGATTTTATAGTTAGAGTAAAGTTACGTCCGTTTGATACATATCTATAATATTACCATGTTAATATGAGGAATTTCAAGAAAGTATATTTTGTGTTTTCTGTTTTTTTTTGTTTTTTTTTTTTTTTTTAATATTTGAAAGGTAACATTTTCTCACTATCTGGTAAGTAATGTATATAAACTTAGATCTCACAGTTTATCTTAAGTGCAATTTCTAATAATCGTATGCATATCTAAGTACTTAAATAAACATAGGTATGAGTATATAGGATTCTAACGAGATTATTGAACTAGATAATGGAAAAGGATGAAATATCTTTCTAAGATGAGACTTATAAAGTAAAAATTATAATCAACATTTTTTTTCGATAGCATAAAAATATGAGTATTTATGTGGTATATTAACAATATACAAGTTTATAGGTACAAACGTTGAGATACTTGTTTAAACTTAATCCCATTCTCCAATGTACATAGCACGCGGTGCAGGAGGTATCACGCCTCTCGTCGGGATGGGTAATCTTCCATATATATGGTTGTACGGCGATTCGATTCTATTATCCGAGTCTGGAAATGCAACGAAGGTCGTTTACATAAAGTCCTTCCAAAAAAAAAATAAACAAAAAAGATCCCTCGAAAGATCTATATCGGTTAAGAATCATATCATCGACACAGTTCACGAACATATCGCATACGCTTACAATTACACGCAATATGTAACATGTAATAAACATTTTGTTTAAATTGCTATTTATGGGATCAGTGACTTTTCTCATAGTTATTTTCAAATAAATCATGTCAGTATTTTTTGTAATTAACTATCAATATCATTATGCAATTTTCTAATCTTATTTCAAATACTCTGACAAAATTATTATTATATACACTAATCCAATAATTAAGCAACTTTGAAAATATACACTGGAACGCAATGTTTTTTTTTTTTTTTTTTAATTACGTTCAACAAATAACACACAACTATCCTTTCTTTCATCTCATTCTCATTCAAACACAATTCCTCGTTGAAGTGTAGACACAAACTCCGATTCGCGTGAATCACGAATTCTTTCTTTTTTTTTTCCTTTTTTTTCAAACTGTCATGTTTTGACCCATATTACGTACCAAGCCCACTCTCAAAACTTCTCGCGTGGTACATGATGTGTGGTCGATTCGCGGGAACGTGATGTCCATAAATCTGAGACGATTGACTACTTGTATAAACGGAGCCAGCATAAGATGGTGCAGGTTGTGGTCTAACATTTCCTCTAGGTACAACACCTTTATTTTGTCCGTTCCTTGCCATTTTTACGAAATTAGGTACGCGTGCACGTAATCCGCAATAATATGGATCGTCTATAACAAATTAAAAACAACAAACTATGCTCTAACATTATCTACCATCAATGATTACAATGAAAAAAAAAAATATTAAAAAAAAAAAGATCTAAACTACATGAAAATATTGAATCAAACAATTTATTTCGTACGTATTCAAATCTTACCATATTTTTTTCTATCGTCATTCTTGCTCCTTTTTTCTTCATTAGCAGGTTTTATCGTTCTAGAATAATCATCTTCTATATCATCATAATCAGGCTGAAATATTACAATTATAATATTAATTATATACAATATAATTAATGTAATATTATAATTATAATATATACAATTTATTACAAACGTTCTTAAAATATATTTTAGTTATTGTATTGTTATAACAAACCTTAGGTATATCATGACCATAAAGATTTTCTCTTGGTGGTAATTTAGGTGGTCTCTCAGTTCGTCTTTGTTGGTAACTGGTAGATTGCATATAAATTTGTTCTCTTGAATCTCTGTCAGATTGCATTATTTCACTAGGTCCTACAGAAGACGAGACTCCAGCTACGCTGTAAGGATCTTCATCTGGAATTGGTATCCTTGGACGATTCTTAATATCTACAGGCCTTTGTAAGGCTAAAACTAAAACAATGTTTCATTAATAAAAACAAAAATCATTTTCAAAGTTGTAAATATTAAATACAAATGTAAAGAAATGAATTTTGATCAAATACCTGGCGGCAGTTTGGACTTGAGCATGTCCAGTCCAACAACGTTTACGATTAGAACCCAAACTGGGCATTGCAGTAAATCTGCTTCCGTTCTCACGAAGACAATAGCACTTAAACATTGCATTTCTAATCTTCTTCTGTCGGGATAAGCTCGTCGAGTTTCGCGATACAAATTTGTTTTAAATTTGTTCACATCGAACAACTGCATAGAAAAAAGAAAGAAAGGAAAATTAAGAATAAGGATAAATTTATTCAACGAATTATTATTCTCTGAACTATGATGATTATGTGTATTAAAAGAATTACGTTTAATAATAATAATAATAATAAATGTTAATGTGTGTGTCTTTACCTTTCCAGGTTTTTCGTGTTCGAGAGCACCCTGCGAGTTACGTATAATTTCAGGACCGATAGCATTATCCTCCTGATTGGTAGGCTTTATGTAAACGTTATTTTTACACAACCTTTTAATAAGAATATTTCCTTGTTCGTCCATTTTAATTTTAACTCCTTGATTAATAAGACGTTTAGCTTCTTCCGTCTTCGGATCACGCATTGGATTATCAAAACCGCAAAGTCCTATCCTGTGTTAGCGTAAAATAAAATCAATTAACTTTCGATTGATTAACTTGAAGAAGAAGAAGAAGAAGAAGAAGAAAAAAGGATGAAGAATATTTTGAAAGAATAATAAAGAAAGTAAGTCACCTGAAGCCGTCGAAGCCATCATTCGAACCGTTTATCGTGAGAACCGGTGCCCTAGCGTACGCTTTCGCGACGCGTCTGTTTCTCTCGAATACAATTACTTTCGCCCATATTTCGTCATCTATTTGATTCCATTTGTCCAAAACTTCTTGTATGTGATCCTAAAAGAAATCAATTTAAATATAATCAATTAATAATGCTAATTAGTGAAACCCGTAAGAGATATCGATCTTAAACGAAAACTTTTGACATTTGGCTGAATTGATATTTTTATCTTAATATTACGTTTTCTCGATTAATTATGGCACAACATTTTTGAAGAGAAAATCTAAATAAATAACCGATCAAAATTAAAATTATTAACCTGATTCGATCTCGTCTAGGTGTCTTTTACTTGAGAGAGAAAGGTAATAAGTTTCGTTCGGTGAATTTGCAATCGTTTGATCTTTCAAAAAAACCGTTCTAATCAATCGTCCGTATCGGTCAACAGATAGTTTATAAGTATACCTGTATTTATATATATATATATATGTGTATATGTGTTTAAAAGAACCTTTGGTGTGATTTGGTTAATAGTAAAAGATAAAAATAAAATAAATAAGATCTGGAATGATCTCTAGACAGTCTATCCAGATCGTTTAAACAAGATCGATCAGAACGAGGTGTTATGCAACGAAGGCTAACATAAGAGTTAGCTACAATTTCCGTTCTAATCGAATTCCTTAAGGTCGAATACGTGTCTGTATGTGTATCTATGTTTGTAAGTTAAGTTGATATACTAGGGGGATTGATTATTGCGTGACACGATCGAGTTCTATGAGCGTAATAAAGTTTTCTTTTAAAAACAAGACAGGAAAGAGAGACATAACGGTGATGGATGATGCATCAAACGATTGAATCGATCGTCATCGTTGACCGGAATCACGTACCAGGACAAATCGAATTCGAAGCTGGTTAACTCGTTCTCATTGTCTTAAGTCGGTAGTCGTTAAAAGTCGACCTAGTTACGCGAATACTCCTTCATAATTCATAACGTACGGTGAGAAAGGTTCAGTAGACTAACGTATATATGTGTGTACAATATATGTATAAATACGTAGAGACTGAAAAATTAGAACTCATTAAATAATTCGATCGAAACCATACTTTTCTCTCATTCAAAAGTTTCATAAAGATATATTATACTATTATACTATTCTTAGTAAATTCTAACGCGAGAGAATATAATTGTAGCAAAAAGAACATATGTATTTATATATGTATAATACGTTTATACTAGAAACACGCCATCATCGAGAGAGACTTTCGTATTTCGCTTTCGGCTACGTTTTTACCTAGCTAAAGGTTTTGTAACACATAACAGCCCATGCAGAGAGTGGAAAAAGAAAGAGAGACTCGCATTTCTCTTAAAGATAGCCGTGTGAGGGTTCTCTCTCTCTCTCTCTCTCTCTCTCTTTTTACTAACTTATCTTGCCTATCTCTTTCTTTCTTTCTTTCTTGTCTATCCTCTTTCTCATGGTACTATTTTCGTTATTACGAGCATAATTTTTTGAAAAGCGATAACCACGCGTTGCAAACCGGTTTGCATCAGTTTTAAGAGCGTGCATGCAGGGTCGCCAAAAACACTTTGCCTTGCATGTGCATGGCTGAACTACTAAACCGGTTGGTACGCTTAAAAGTCAGCGAGTAGAGTTGGCGTGTATGTAAATGCAAGAATACAAGATATTATTGGCTCTTATCGAGAAAAATCATAACCCGTAAGTACGTATTTACGATTAATAAAAACGTATGTACTTTTTTTTCTAAATGTAACTTTATACGAATATTGTTTTATTTTGTTTTGTTTTCTCTCTCTCTCTCTCTCTCTCTCTCTCTGTCTCTTTTTATAACGTTAAATCGAAAGAGTTATCTTATGACATTTCTTACCTTGTACAATTTGTCGAGATTGTACCAAACGTCTTCCTCCTCTTGTTCCTCGTATTGAGATTCAACGAGATTGTCTCGCGAACGAGAGAGTATTTTTCTTCTCGATACCATCTTGTGTTCGTCTTCTCAATCTGAAAAACGAAAAAAATAGTAAAAAGAAAAGAATAAAAATAAAAAATAATATTACACACATCGAGAAATAAAATGATCAATAAAGAAAAACCACAAATCAAACCACTTCTTCCTCGAAAGAATAACGCAACGTATTATAATATTTTTTTCTTTGAAATGTATCCTCTGTTTTTTCATTTTTTTTTTTTTGTTTTATAACGTAACCATAGTCATCCGGATATACCTAATCTTTAAAATATTCCCTACAAAATTTTAGATGTTTCGGAAGATGTGAAAAAAAAAAAGATACCGAAGATAGAAGGAAACCTATAAAAAGATGACAAAAAAAATGTCCGAGAAACCATTAAATGGTGTCATCGAGCTAAAACTAGACGCTAGACGTGACCTGACGTTGTTCAGGTAATATTTGTATCTTATTTTTATTTCTTTCTTTTTCTTGTATTTTATATTAGCTAATCCAAGTTCGTTTGAGTACGAAAAAATTCGTATTCTCGTTGAGTACTGAAGAAGGAAGGAAACGACGACGACTACGACGACGACGACGACGACGACGACGACTACTCACCCGTTTGAAGATAAGATCGAATCTTGTAAGAAAAAAAAGTCAAAGCAGAACACTAAGTAGTCGGATTCGAAGTTGTGAAGCTTTTTGCAAGGAACTTTGAAAGATACGAAAAACATAACAACCAAAAAATATATATGAAATAACCGATACATTCCCATTTGCTCCCACTCTGCCTTCTCCTCCTCCTCCTCCTCGTCGTCTTCCAGCACTTATACCACGTATACCCACCACCACCACCACCACCACTTCCACCCCTTCTCAAACTAAGAAACGAACGAAACGACTGGAATACCGGCGCGTCAACTGCTCGGAAAAGTGAAATTCGCATTCCATCGGCACGCTCGCTACCGGCCGTACGTGGCACACGTGTACATTGGCATCGAAGTCAAAGCCGTTACACGACAACTCCTATGAGTTTCCCCATTTACGACATCATTTTTTCTATGTATCATATATGACACATATATGAGAAAAATAAGAACAGAAGAAGATGAGGAAACAAAAAACCAACTAAGAAACAGGATTCTCGAATGACTAATCTCTCATTAAATTTTCCCCAAAAGTTAAATTTCCAAAATATATAATAATTGGTCCATCGATAATATTCGAGACATAGTCATCATCATCATCATCATCGTTTTTTGTTGTTGCGTGGTCGATTCACCTATACCATGTAGAAGCCGACAGAATTTCCCTGAAACTGCTGGCTTTCACTTCTTCGAAGAATGCGAAGGTTGTACACGAACAACGTCTAGCCTGGCAGTGGGTACGGCACACGAGTCTCTTTTTCCCTTTCCCCCCTCTATACCCCCTTTCATTCTCTTTCTTTCTCTCCCACTCTCTCTCTCTCTCTCTCTCTCTCTCTTTCTTTCTTTTTCTCTCGATGTTTCTAACTCCTTCTTACACACTTCATCCTTCTATCTTAGTTAGTTAGTCTTTCTCTTGATCTTTCTCTTTCTACCATACACACACACACACATATGCAGACACATACAAAACAAACGCATATACAACAAGAGTCTCTATCTATCTCTTACTTGTACAGAGTCTCTCACTCCCCTTCGGCTAAACCAAGAGACTTCAACAGACCAAGAGTAAGAAAGAAAGAGAGAGACTTCGATGAGCGCAACCGCGAGATTTCAAGCAGTGGAAGGAAACTGGTTATGGTCGGCCGCGTAGGCAGGCATTCATACACACACCCTGCGTAGTGGACACAGGGCTTGGCAAAATACTCCTACAACTCGACCGTTCCGTACTCGTAATACTTGTATCTAAGTACCTATATATATATATATGTACACAAGTATATATGTATCTAAGTATAGATATATTGGTATATACATAGGTATATTTATGCTCGACGAGAAATACACATATATATATATATATATATATATAGATAGAGGAACGAACTATGATCCCCTCGAGTGAAGCAGCTAGGGACCGGCTTTTTGCATGAGAAAGAGAAAGATAAGATGCGAAGTTAGTAGTAAGACTCGTCGAGCAACCCGAGAGCCTCGCGAGTTCGCTTTCGTCGAGCGTAATAGCAGCAGGAAAAGAGAAAGGTGTTGTGCGGAGTAGTTTTGGGCCTCTCGCGGGAAGCCTGGAATGGGAGAACTCCGAGGCTAAATACACTATATGTATCCTAGAAAATAGTACTCTAAACTAACTCCAAGAATTATCGAACGACCTAACGCGAACTTTAATTTTTCCTACTTTCAACAATTATGAAAGAAATCGAAGACATATGGGAAAGAAAAAGATAGAAAGAGTGAGAAAGAATGAGATACCAAATGGGGAGACTTGAATGGAATGCACGTCCGATGAGTCGTCGTATTAACTGACGCAATTGTCGGGTCCATGACTTCTTCACGATAAATACCGTAGAGATTATTGAGAAAAATTTCTATACGAATCATCCTCGATCTTTTCTTTTTAATCATATTTCTTATTTATTTCTTTTTTTCTTTTTATTATTCCATTTTTTGTCATCTGTAAATTGAAGAACGTAGCTGTACGTCGTCGAGTCACGTCACGACGAGATCCGCTTGAGAGAGAAAAAGAAACAAACAAAAAATTAATAATAATAATAATAAAGTTCTATGAGATAGTTACGAGTCATCAATACGTTTCGAAGATATTTTCATCTCTTACTATAAAATTAATCATTATTTTCGTATCGATCATTTACTCTTTTCGATTTCTTTCTTTGCATCCTTGAAAAAGATAGAGAGAGAGAGAGAAAAAAATGATTAAGCAAGCGTATCTTATGCAATCGAAAGTACCAAATCTGTACAATGAACGTCATTAATACTTGTCATTTAATTTATATTTTTTTCTAAACAATTTTAATTTATATATATATAAAACAACAATAAAACAAATTTTCTTTTGTAATCCATTGTTCAAGAATAATCAATTTATTCCTTTACTCTTTGATCTATATTCATATCCTTTTACGTAATTATCATTTACATAGTAAATAACTTCACGGCATGATGATGAAGAAGAAGAAGAATAAGCAGTAGTAAAAAAAAAGAAAAATATCGTTAACGTAAGAAGAGCGAGTCGCTTCGCAAATCGTAACGACATCGCAGCCGTCTTGGCTTTCACGATCTCTTGTGTGTTTGCGCGCGCGCGCGCACGCGAAAGTCGATCTCGCAATCGGTATGTGCATATATATATGTATGTATGTGTGTGTGTCTCTCTCTCTCTTTTTCTTTCTTGCTCGGCATATGCTATTTTAATTTCGCGCTTCTCAAAGCAATCATATGATCATCTTCAGAAGATTTAACAACTGTGGAAGTACTTCGATCCTACTACGTGAGGATATCCTCGTAAAAGTGTCGAGAAGACCGATGGATACCAATTTAGCTCTCTTTCTTTCTCTCTCTCTGTTTCTTTCTTTCATTCTTTCTTTTTCTCTCTCTCTCTCTGTCTCTTTCTATTTCGCGCGCGCGCATTGGGCGCGCCGAAGGATACGAAAGATCGTTTCTCTCTTTCTTTCTCTCTCTCTCTCGAAAGGGCGACGCACCAGTCGTTTAAAAAAAATCGCGCGAAGGGCGACCTTCCAATGGCGCCTCTTTTTAAATCCTTTTGTAACACGAATACTTAGAATATTTTAAACGTCTCTTTTATTATTTTATTTCTTTGGAAGAAAAATGAAAGCTATTGATTGGAAACAGTTCGATTCGGTTCGCGTATTAGTTTCACATTTTCATAACTTTCAAAGATTTCTCTTTAATTTTATTTATCTTTATTTCTTTTTCTCTAGTTTCATGATAACGGTAATAACATGATTAGGTAAAAAAGAATGAAAGAAAGAAAGAGAAATAGTGTAGGCGATTTTGCATATCCGCGTATGGGAGGAGGACGACGACGGCTAAGAAACTGACGACGAAGTTGGACACATCCATATGTTACCAATCTAGCGGTACGTTACATACCTTTCGAGTGACAGCACCTTCCTGACACGGCGATGTTCTATAGCCGGCCTCCACCTTCAATATGGTTCGGATGTGTCAAAGATGTTAGCACTTTGTCGAACTTCTTGCCTATCCATAATCGAGGAAGGACGATGGAAGGCACAAGCCAAAAATGAAGTTATCTCTATTGAGACTGTTATTCCCTTCAATTTGTCTACGTGATCAAGAATCGGCACTATCATCGGTAAAAAAAAAAAAAGAGTAAAGGGGGGAATGGGTTGGTATCGAGGACGAGTAAAAGTGAGAGTGAAAGAAAATGGAAGAGGAAAGGGAGAGAGATCAAGAGAATAAGAAGAGTAAGAAAATAAAGAGAGGGAGAGGGAAAGAAAGAAGACTAATTCAAAGAATGAAAGAAAGAAAAGGTTGTTGAAAATAAACAAAGTTAATAGAAAAAAGATAATAATAATTATAAGAAGAATGAGAGGATAATAAGGGATGTGAAGAGGTAAAGATTAAAAAAAAAAAAGAAGAAGAAAAAAAAAGATAATATAATTATTATCCCCCCCGCGTAAGGCTTAGCAATTGTCGAGTACAAAAGTTAACGAGTTCGGACCTTTATTCGGGGCCCGTGCACAAACGACGCGATAACCGCTCACTATTCGTCGTCTCGCAGTCAACCTTGCCTCCTCCGACTCGCGAGTGAGAGTTGCAGGACGTTCACCATGTTGGTGAACAGTCGCGCATGCGCCGTTAGTTAGGCACTCTCTTGTGCGCTCGCGTGACGTCAGAAATAGGACAAGGAGCCCGCTGGCCTTTGGAAAGGCGCGACTCGCGGCCGATGGAGGAGGGCCACTGAACTGTCTCTCGCCGATTCTATACTTCTTTCCCCTTTAGCCCCGTGTACTCTTCATCGTCATCCACCTCCTCCTCCTTCTCCTCCTCCACCTCTTCCTCCTCTTCATCCGCCTCCGCCCCTGCTTCTTCCTCCTCTCAACATCTCCTCGTACGAGGACCGAGTCGTCCTTGCATCTCTCAACCCCCGTTCAACTCGACTTTTCAAATCCTTCCGCTGACAACGACCCACGAATCTTCGTGTCTTTCACGACCTTTGATCTTGATCTTCTTTCATATATTTTATTATACATATATGTATATGTGGGCTAATAATTATATACAATGTATCAAATAAAAAATATATAAAATTAAAATAATGTGGAAAAATATAAATTGTATAATTTACATTTTTTAATAGCCCATTCTCGTAACGGCACATGTATAAATGTATTATGAGAGACATTCGTTTATCGAAAAAAAAAATAGAGAAAATTGATAAATACATTGTCGCTTTATATATTATTCAATGAAATTAAGAGTATAAGAACACATTAACGAAATATCTTAAAATATTGTTATGTAAATCGATGAGTGTCCATAAAATGAGCTATAATTCGGAAACACGATCATATCAAACATGTATTTACATAAACTAATTTTCTCAGTTGTATATCCCGAATCTACTACTGCAATTTTTTCCACGCGCACCCATATATACACATGTTTACATATAACGAGATCAACATAAACGGGAAGAATGATTTTCAAAAGAAGATAGATACTTAGCAAAAAGAGAAATTCATATTTTACCTTCCTCATTACATGTCGTGTAAATCGAAGAAAAGTGTGTTGCTTTCGCGAGAACATTTTACTCTATTCTTGTTCGCTCTACATATCCTCTACTTTTCCTAAGTTTAATATCTAAGCAAAGATTGAAAGTTATCGGGTTTGATTTAGCGACGTGTATGTGTAAAGCATGCTTCGGATTAATTGCGCAATGTACGTACACACGCACAGTTGTGTAATGCAACCGTATGACACTCATAACGAATAGTTTCATGATTCGGAATAGCGAATCTTGTTGCATGAGCAAGAGACAACGGTTCTTTTAACTTCTTTCAAAGACTCATATACACTACATCCCCCTCTACTTTTGTAACAACGCTGTTTCATTGAATTTAACTCAT